CAGGACTAAGTATTCGAGACCATCCCTGACAGGTGTTTGTCTAACCTGCTCTTAAAAATCCCCAATGATGGAGATTCCACAACCTCCCTAAGCAATTTATTCCAGTGCTTAGCCACCCTGACAGGAATTTTTTCCCAAAGTCCAACCTAAACCTCCGTTGCTGCAATTTAAGCCCATTGCTTCTTGTCCTATCATCAGAGGTTATGGAGACCAACTTTTCTCCCTCCTTCTTGTAGCAGCCTTTTATGTACTTGAAAACTGTAATGCCAGTTGTATCAAATTCCTTTTCATCAGTGAGAACTTCCAATTCTGTCTGCTTGTTACCCAGATTCCTACATTGGTATAGAAGCAATCGAAACATTTCTTCCCTTCCTTCTCTGTCACATTCATTCAAATTGTTTGTGAGACACTGAGTGTGAGTTTATATCCCCTTTGCTTCCTTAACACCCTTCCCCTCCCCCTTTATTGTTAGTTTAATGACCTCCCGGCTGCTCCAGCTAGGCTCCAACCGAGATTAGCCCCACCACCACCTGTGAGATGCAGGCTGTCCTCTCCATACAGCCCCCTCTCTACTGGAACATGAGGGGCAGCTGCCAACAAGCCCTTAGAAACTCAGAATGGTCTTTCTTTTCTGCTGGTTGGCTGCTTGCTCCAGACCCCCTGCGCCCCCCTCCAATTTGTTCACTTCAGCTGCCCTCCATCCTCATCCTCAGCCTCTCCCTGCCCTTGCCTCCCCCAGTCCCCGACTTCCTCTCCTGCATCTTCCTTTGAGCTAATCAGTTCCTGTGTTCCCTTCCCTCCCACTCCTATCCTGTTGGAGGCCGAATATGTATAATAATTAGGGCCCTACCAAATTCACGGCCATGAAAAACGCATCACAGACTGTGAAATCTGGTCTTTTGTGCACTTTTACCCTATACTATAGAGATTTCATGGGGGAGACCAGCACTTCTAAAATTGGGGGTCCTCACCTAAAAGGGAGTTGCAAGGGGGGGTGACAAGGTTATTTTAGAGGAGGTGTTGTGGTATTATAATAATGTAAGAAAACCCTACCCCCAAATTACAGCTCTAAACAAAAAGTACTGTGGAAGGTCCCTGACACTTTCATGGTTTGCTCTGCTTGTGTGTGGAAGTAACTGGCTTGGTGGCAGCGCTACTGAAAAGGAGCTGGGGGTTAGAGTGGGGCACAGTTTGAATATGGGTCAGCAATGTGATGGAATTGTGACAAAGGCTAACAGCATTCTGGGGTGTAGGAACAGGAGTGTCGTACATAAGACACAGGAGGCCATTGTCCTGCTGCGCTCAGCAGCGGTGAGGCCTCAGCGGAAGTACTGTGTCCAGTTCTGGGCACCTCACTTCAGGAGAGAGGTGGCTACAAACCCCTGTCAGGGATGGTCTAGCTTTATTTGGTCCTGCCTCTCAGTACAGGGGGCTGGACTTGATGACTTCCCGAGGTTGCGTCCAGCCCCGCGTTGCTCCGATTGTGTTATTGTGTGTTATGGCTCCTTTCCCCGCTCGGGTTTGTCTTGCCCACTTACATTGTCAGCTCTTTGGGGCCGGGACTGTTCCTTAGTCTGTGTGTGCAAAGCACCCTGGGCAGTCGTGCGCTGAGTTTGCCTGGGGCCTCTGGGCACTACCGAAATGCACATATTAGATAATAAAAGCATGTCTGAGTGGAGGCTGGACTCAGGCCTGGCTTCCCTGTTAATATCCCAGGATAGCCTATGCACCATCCGAATGAGCCATGAGAGAGCTCAGATAGTGTCTGTCAGCCCAGTGAGCCCCGAGAAAGCAAAGGGGGCCTCCTGTTCCCTTCCGGGACCTTGACGGTACACCCATGTGAAGTGCTGTGATCAGATGACAGCTGGGCTGCCCTCAGGTGTGACCCTCCTGCCGGGCTGAGTGTGGGGCGGCAGGTGTCCGGAGGGGGGAGCAGCAGCAGGGGCTGAGCGTGAAATGCTTGTGATTGCAGGGCCGGGTGACGTTTGAGGAGGTGGCCGTCTGGTTTTCCCGGGAGGAGTGGGAGATGCTGGCAGACTGGCAGAAGGAGCTGTACCGGGCCGTGATGCTGGAAAACTATGAGCATCTATTTCTTCTAGGTACGGTAACAAGTGACTTGGGCTGGAGGATACAGGATTTTGGAGGCATGGTCACTGCGTCGTGTTCAGACACGTTCAGAATCCCTTCAATAAGCATTTGAAATATCCTGGGATGGCCTGAAATAACCTGTGCCCTTTGTAACACTCACTCAGGTATTAGCTATGCAGCCGCCCTGCTTGCCAACGCAGGAATCCGTTCGGCTGCAGGGAGCTGGCCAGTAGCCAGGAGAGAGCCCTAGCCCCAACCAAGCTAGCCTGGCTTGCGCTAACTTTGCTGCCGATTGGTTTGGTGACCTCCAAATATGCCGGAATCCACAGATGTGAGTGTCACAGATCCCAAGACTGGGTTTCCCCTCCCTGCACATTAACCCTTTGTAGGGGGCCCCGTCAGTAATCAGTGATGCACTTCCAACCCTGATGATTAGTTAGATTTTTGAAGCCATCTCTGCGGTACAAGAGTAGAAATTGATGTTTCCCTTCAGTGAAAGTTAAAACCGGATTGACATCTAGAGCCCTAAAATCAGGCAGACAAGTGAGCTTTGCAGGTGCCAGGGGCTGGCCCTGTCCGAACCTAATGCAATTTTCTCTCTACATAAACAGGCCATGCAGATGCCAAACCTGAGATCATAACCAAACTTGAACGAGGAGAAGAGCTGTGTGTCGGGGACCAGCAGGCCCCGGAGGGGAGAGAAATTCTTCCGAGTGCTTCCAGGGGTGAGTATTCCCAACGACTGCTTAGCCCAGCTCTGTCAGCCCTGCCAGCACAGCCTCGGACTTTCCCTGAGCGACGATATCAGGATTTGGGCTGTTGAAGTTAATGCACGTTTTGCCTGAGTTGAGACAGATCAGAACCTGAGAAGTGAATTCAAAGTGCAGCCCATTATGAACTGGGAGTTTTCATCGAGATTAGTGAAGTAAAAGTAGCATTTTATAAATGAACCTTTGCCCCTTGTAGGACCTTGGTACCTAAACACCAGGACAATCGGCTGGGATAACAGTCTTTTCCTACTGCCAGCTAATGTGGTTCGTCTAGTACAGGGGTGGGCAAACTATGGCCTGCGGGCCGGATCTGGCCCGTCAGGGCTTTGGATCTGGCCCCGGCAACTCCCATTGGCCGGGAACGGTGAACCTCGGCCAATGGGAGCTTCAGGTGAGGTACCCGCAGGTGAGGGCAGCGCGCGGAGCCATTCTGATGCTTGGCTTTGCCACCTAAATAACGTTCCTTTAATGCAGTTGTTCTGCGTGGAATATGTCTGACTTTTACCTTGAGAGTGTCTGTAACTTGACCTTTCACAGTGGTTAGGCAGTTAATTCCCACCTCATCATGATGCAGCTTTCTAATATGAAGCCAATCATCCGTGCGGATTTTCTCTGTAATTTTCCATCAGGGAATTGGTCCAGGAAGAAAACTAAAAGGGAGTCGGACCTGCAAGAATGTCGTGGAAACCCGGACGCTCAAGGGACCTCATCTAAAACGTTCAAAGAGAAAGTTTTGTGCAAACAAACCAGAAGATCCAGCAAACTCACCAGCGACCCCGATCTCCAGAGCTGCCGCACAAAAGAGAAGCAGCTGAAATGTACCGAGTGTGGGAAAAGCTTCACCAGGAGGCAGAATCTGAGCACGCACAAGAGAATCCACACTGGAGAGAGACCGTACGAGTGCAGCGAGTGTGGGAAGAGGTTCAGCCGCATGCAGCACCTCGTGTCGCACCAGCGCATCCACACGGGCGAGCGACCCTACCAGTGCACCGAGTGCGGGAAGAGCTTCAGCCAGAAGTCCAACCTCCTCACGCACCAGACCATCCACACGGGGGAGAGGCCCTTTAAATGCACGGAGTGTGGGAAGAGGTTCAGCCAGAGAGTCTACCTGACCCAGCACCAGAAAACCCACACGGGAGAGAAGCCGCATAAATGCCTGGAGTGCGGGAAGAGTTTCATCCAGAGGAAGGTGCTCCTGACGCACCAGAAAAGTCATGCCGGGGAGGGAGGGCCGTACCTATGTGCCGACTGTGGGAAATGCTTCACCACACGGCCAGGGCTGAGGTATCACCAGAGAATCCACACCGGGGAGCGGCCATACCCCTGCGCCCTGTGCGGGAAAGGTTTCGCCACCAATTCCCGCCTGAAATATCATCAGCGGATCCATTCGGGAGAGAGGCCTTATCAGTGCAGCGACTGCGACAAGCGCTTCCGGCACAAGTCGGCTCTGGCCTCTCACCAGGGCATCCACACCGGTGAGAGGCCTTACAAATGCACCGAGTGCGGGAGCAGCTTCCGCCGCCGGAACGGGCTTGTCAAGCACCAAAGGATCCACACGGGGGAGCGCCCCTACCCGTGCGCAGAGTGCGGGAAGAGCTTCAGCACGAGGAGCACGCTCACGGATCACCAGAGGACCCACACCGGGGAGAGACCCTACACCTGCAGCCACTGCGGGAAAAGCTTCAACCGGGTCTCGCAGCGCCGCAAACACCAGAGAATCCACACGAAAAAGCGACCGGAATGTGCAGAGTGTGGGAAAAGGTTCCGGAGTGAGAAGGAGCTCGCCACGCACCAGAGGGTCCACACCGGAGAGAAGCCATACCAGTGTCCCCAGTGCCAGAGGAGCTACCATCGGAAGAACGAACTGGCCAAGCACCTGAAAAGCCATGCGGGGAAGAAGCCGTAACCTCGTGCTTATGGAAGCTGGGCGTGAACATGTACCAGCCCTCCGGGCCCGGCACTGCCCCATTCCAGGAGCGTCTCCAAGAGACGTATCTGTGAGTTAGGAATGTGGGGAGGGAGAGGGAGTGGTCTTGGGAGGGCAGGGTGTGGTCAGGGAAGTATCTCCCGACTGCTGCCCCTGTTCAGGGCCTGAGCCGGGATTCCAAGGTGCCAGTGGGGCTGGAACCCTCTGCTCTTAATACTGAGGGATCAGGTTGGTTCTGTATGATCCATCTAGCCTCTCTTTCACCAGACACACAGAGCAAGGGAGTCTGGGAATTGTAGGCTCCAGGAAAGCCAGGACTGTAATAGGCCCATTGAGGAAGGGCTGGGGTATATAAGAATCTACCTTCCTTCAAATGCGAGAGAGACTCAGAGGGAGCCAGGAGGGGTCTCAGAGAAGAAGGGGCAGCTTATCTATTGTATGGATTGTTTTGCTCATTTTACCGAGACTGAACTTTTGATTTAGGGGTTGTCTACACACAAGTTTGCACCAATTTAGTTAAACTAGTACAAGCCCTGTGTGGACACTCTTACTTCCGTTTATTTGGGCTTAGATTAAATCTGTTCCTGGTCAGTTTAAAATAAATGAAGTAAGCCTGGTTTGAAGAGAGAGAAAAGTGTTCACATGGGTTTTTGGCTCTTTTCATTAAAGAGGATCAATCTCAGACCTGTTAAACTGGTGCAACTGAGCATGTAAACGTTTGGGATTTGAAATGACTGTGGGACATCCCCGACCTCGAGGTGGGGACTGTCCGAATTCCAGAGAGATCGGGGAATGAAAAGCCCTGACCTGCAGACTGGGGTAAGGGAAAAGGGTTTTGTTTTAAAGGAGGGCTCTGGCTTTAGCGGGGTGACTGGCCCCCTGTGCCTCTGGTCAAGTGAAGGTAGAGAACTCCGTTCTCTTTAAATGCTGCCTCTTCTAAGTGCGGTCACTCGGATTGCTTGGAAAGGTGCATATGGAAACAGGTGAGGAAAGTTTCCCTCCAAAGTCGAATCTTGCGCAGCCCCTGAAAATTCCCACGAGAAATGGCTGCTTTGTAATAAACATGCTCTGGTTCAACCACAAAATACAGGCTTGGTGCGGGGATTGTGGGGGGGGGAGAGAGGGGGGTTCTGGGTCTAGGCTGTGCAGGAGGCCAGACTAGATGATCACAACGGTCCTTTCTGGCCTTAAAATCCATGGCTAGACCTTTAGCCGTGTGGTTTGTGCAGAAGGAAGAGAACCCCGAGTCACTGTCTCTAGCCACAGTGCCAGGCCTTGCAGTGGGTGGGACAGGCAGCCTCCACCTGCCAAACCTCATATATCAGAGCTACCGAATCAAGGCCTAACACTGCGTTGGACGCAAAGGCAGAGTGTCGGGCTAGGGAGCTCCCCAGATTGCAGGTAGCCGCCGGGGATGCTGAACATCAGTAACCAATTGTGTCAGCAGCTGGAACGGAGAATGGGAGGAAAAATCAAACCGCAGAGCACAACGGCGTTGGCAATGGCAGCTGTTGAGAACCTGCTCTCGGAACACGCTGTGTGCTAAGCAGTTGCGTGGAAAACAGCCAGGTCTGTAATATTCAACTGGCTGGGCTCCTAGGGGTGCTCTGGACTCTGGCTGTAAAACAAAATGTCCCAGAGGAAACGGGAGAGCTACAGAGACAAAGGGCTGCTTCCAGCAACAGCTGAGGTGAAATGAGATCAGACCACCGATGTGCATAAGAACGGCCCTACTGGGTCAGACCAAAGGTCCATCTAGCCCAGTATCCTGTCTACCGACAGTGGCCAATGCCAGGTGCCCCGGGGGGAATGAACAGAACAGGGAATCATCAAGTGATCTATCCCCTGTCGCACATTCCCAGTTTCTGGCAAACAGAGGCTAGGGACACCATCCCTGCCCAGCCTGGCTAATAGCCCTTGATGGACCCATCCTCCATGAACGTATCTAGTTCTTTGTTGAACCCTGCAGAGTGGGAGGGATTGTGTTGTTATTTTTGTAGGGTGCCATGTTGACTGGTAGAGATCACAGAGATGC